CGGACACGACTGAGCGACTGAACTGAACTGAACTGATAGAGTCAGTCCGACCTAGTTTGAAATTTTAATTATGCCACTTACTAGAGGAAGTTACCTCTCTTCTTCATAAAGTTGTGAAAAGGAACTGGAGTAATATATATGGAGTATCTACCTAAATACCTACCTAAATCAGTAGGTAGATTCAACAACTCTTTTGTAGTCTAGACACAAACTCCACATTGTGTGCTCTGAGTTGACTCAAGCTAGAACATTAGTAAAGTATTTGATCTTCATTTGTATCTCTTTAAGAACATGAAAAATACTCTAATTCAGAGCTCACTTTAATATTTCCTAAACACTCTTTTGTTTTCTACATATTTTTTAAGTTCCTACAGCTTCTCTGATGCCTGCCATTTAACACTCTTATCTCTCAAATAACAGCAACAATCAAACCATATATTTTTCTACACTGAGTTCATGTAATTACTGAATTTGTTTCATTCATGATTGCATGTGTGTGTGCATGCTCAGTCTCATCAGCCATATCTGACTATTTGGGACCCTGTGGACTGTAGCCCACCAGGCTTTTCTGTCCATGGGATTTTCCAGGCAGGAATACTGGAGTGGGTTGCTATGCCCTCCTCCAGGGGATCTTCCCAACCCAGGGGTTGACTCGTGTCTCCTGCATTGCAGGCAGATTCTTTACCACTGAAGACACCAGGGGAGCCTGGTGTCTGCTAAATGCTGGGGGCAAGTATCCAGTTGCTTATAGGGAATTTCATTGTGATACCTTCTGTTTAATAAAATTAAATCAAGGCATTCAGCCTTCAATCCAAACCTGGGCTTCATAGGGTTGCTGGAAGTTTTATTTGAGCTTCTCCTAAGCTACCAATGAGTAGAAAACCCTTCCCATCTGCCAAATTCTTCCCAATATCTTGACTCCAAGCTCCATCACTCAAACTTGTTTTTGCTGTATGGCCAAGATAGTCACAGAGAAAATCAGAGAGTTACAAAGAAGTCCAAGGTTGCTTAATAAATCTTAGCTAGAATTTGTTTCTTCTTCTTCAGTTTTGAGGTAGAACAAGACCAGTCCTGCAAGTTGTGTTCTTCTGTCTGCTGATGAAAGGCTTATAGTGAACACAGAGCTGGAGCACTTCCAACCTTCTTACTGATTTTCAGCTATAGATCCCAGCCCCTATCCACTCTGCTGTATATTTGTTCTATGTAATGTCTTCCAAAGAGATCAAGTCAAGATCCCTTTATATCAGAGAATCCTCCCAATACATCCTTACTCAACCTCTGCCATTTCTCAGCATTTACAAGCCAACATTTTTGCAGCATCTGAATTCCATGAGTAGCTAAGATTTTAAGTCTCTGCTCCCATCCCAGGCCCAGTGTTGCCTGAAATTCTTTGTTTCTGGCAGGAAGTAGCCACTGTGAGTAGTTCCAAAGCCTACTTAGTTGCAGACCACAAGATGGCAGCCATGTTCCGGGCCTTTCACTTCTGCAGAAGAGTTGGGCAGCATCCCTGCACCAGTGTGAGTTGCTCTGATACTGTGTCTTCTTTCCATCAAAGCTATATGCCTATAGATATTGAGTTTAAAATTAATTTTCACTTCACAACTTCATGAGCAAATTTTGAAAGTTGTACATGATGTCATAAAGATCTAATTTTCTTCCTAAAAGAGCCATTCTTTCTTCCTAAAATATCCAAGCATTCTTTCTCCAAAACAGAAATTCAACATCTGTGTTGTGTCACCATGTCTCTTGAATGTTGAAGTTGGATTCTTAGACCCATAACATTTAATATTTGGACAATGGGCACATTTTCCCCTACAGAATTCCAGCAGTAAGGTGGATGATTTCTCTGACTCAAGCCTAGGTGGTAATGTTTTAATCTGAGATGTATTTAAGCATATCACTGAAAAGTAAAACTCTTTAAGGAACATCCAAGACATAAGAGCTAGGATCCAATAAGAACCCACCATTTTTTTCTTGCTTTAACGAGAAATACTTGATATATAATGCTGTATAAGTTTGAGGTATATAACATTATGACTTGGTGCACATATATATTGTAAAATGACAACCCCAACTTGGTTAGTTAACACATCCATCACCTCACATAACTACTTTTTTATGTGGTGGGAACATTTAAGATCTACTCTCTTAGAAACTTTCAAGTATATAATTCATTGTTAACTATAATCACCAAGCTGTACATTGCCTCTCCAGAAATCACTCATCATATAAGTGAAAGTTTGTGACCTTGGCCCAACATCATCTCATTTCCCGGAACCACCAGTCCCTAGCAACTACCATTCTACTCTCTGTTTCTCTTAGTTTGGCTGTTTTAAAAATAGATTCCACATGTAATTGAGACCATGCAGTGTTTAGGGTCCCACCATTAGTAGAGTTGTATTCAAGGAAGTACAGTAACATTTTCAGAAATCCTTTCGTTTGTATTTACCTTGCACCCTATCATCTACTTCCACCAGGAAATGTTAATAGTTGACTTAGAAAAAATGTATATCTATATTCTGAACCCATGTCAAGATTTCATATTACTCTTCAAAGAGCAGGATGATTCTTAACTCCTTTGCTCTCAGAACAAGTTTGAAGTCCTTTGTCCTAAACTCTTCAGTTACCAGATTTATAATCACCTTACTCCTCCTACACAGTTTCCCTTCTTTTCCACTCCTCTCTGTGTCTTCAGCTAAGGTACAGGCGGTGTTTATTATTACTCTCAGATAAGGGACAGAGATCTGTTCTTCCTCAGTGCATGGTGGATCCAGAGTATACCTCTTTTCCTGCTCCCTCTCTGGTCAATGTATGCAGCACGCGTGGATGTGGCATGCATGCACACCGCTCAGCTGTGTTGCAGCTCCACAGTGGTGCTGTCCTATCTCCTTTTCATTTATCCTCTTTCATTTATTTTCTTTTTTTATGGCTATTTCTCTTTTGAACTTTTTTTTTTTTGGTTAATAGTTGCAAAAAGGAATGGAACTACATTGGTTTAATATGAAATACTAGGTTATGGAATAATGGTTTCCAAACTCAAGTTCATTACCAGAATCCTAGTGAAAAGTTAAAGACTACATCTTGGCAGGTCCATTCTCATAGACTAGTAGGTCTTGTGTGAAGTTCAGATACCTGTATTTAAAAAGAAAAAATACTCTATGGATGATTCTAGTGGTTGAACCCTGTTTAAAGCCTTTTAGCTTTCAATTCCTAGCACCTAACTCAGGGCCTAGTTAGTAGATGTTAAACATGTATCATTGCACAGTTATTAGTTAATTGATAGTGTAGCAAATAGGATTGATAGTTGGTGACATTGGCCACTATGTTGTAAGATCAGAAACTTCATTCCTCAAGGAAGTGCTTCCTTACTATGAAAAATTTGGAGAAAATCTGAGTTCATTAGCAATAAACACGTTTACTTACAGCAGAGCTTCTCAGATCTTTTAAGATGCTAGGTGAGCTTGGAATCTTCAGGGGTTTTGTATATCATCAAGCTTAGTTGACTCAGCATCCATCCCTTTCAAGTTACTTTTCCTTATTTTATTTTACTTCGGGGAGAATCTTCGTGGACCTGTGTTATGCAGAAGACAGTTCGGAGAAAGCTACTCTAAGACTGGGTTGAACATTGACAAGGCTGTCTGATGGTATACATCTGTGTGGGTTCTTTAGATCAAATCCTTTCTACTTTGACTGAACTTGGAATTACCTGGGGGATTTTTAAAACCCAGGGATGACTGGGTGTCACCCGAAGCCAACCTAATCAAAATCTCTAGCAGTAAGGCCAAGTACTAGAATTAAAAAAATTCTCAGATGATTCTTGTGCTGATGAGGTTGAAAACCATTGCTTAGGAAACAAAATGCTAGCTATATTCTAAGTTATTGGCTACCAGTAATAGTTAACATTTATTGTTGACTTTGTGCTAAGCATTTTCCTCCTATGTTCTTTAACTAAATCTTCACGGGTTTTTTTTTTTTTTTAAATAATGCAGTTCCCATTATAATCCCCATTTACAAATGATAAAACTAAGGCACTAGGGGGAAAGAGCAGTTTGCCAAAACATGCAGGCTATAAGTTAGGGGCTTCGTGTCTAGGCACTGTGATTCCAGAACTTGGGCATCTAACCAGTACTTCACTGAACTCTTCTTTGGACAGACTCTATATGATTAAAACTAATATATTATCTTCACTCACTATACAAAAATGCTAGCAGGAAATAAAATCAACTCTAGTGCTAAGTTCTACCCACAAAATCAAACACTTTAGTATTTTGACCATAGTAATATATTTTTGTGTTTTTTAATGTACTCCATCAGAGAACTTCTGTTAATAATTGCACACATAGAACATAACAAAAGTTGCTCCCCATTGTCCCTCCCACATTTGACAGTGAAATATGGAATTGATTTTGGCCAAATCTTCATGCGAGTAAAAAGATATTAAGGCTGATTCAGGTAGTCAAAATAACTCAGCTCTACTTTCTCTTGGGTCATAAAATTGTATCTGCTGAATTCACATCAACTAAGTATTAAAAAAAAATCCCTTAATCTAATTATCATTCCCTATTATTGTCAAACCTCAGTTGAATGGACTCCAAATAATGGAACTTTTAAATAATTGAGGGCATTTTTAAACATTTTATTTCTTTATTGAGAAATAAAGGAAGAACAAGTAATTTGAAATCAGGAGCCTTCAAAAGGTGCATGGCTATTGTTCCTTCTGTTGAAATTCTATTCCAATAATTATCTGCATATTTAAATAGTGTTGGTTTTCTCTTGGAATCCTTTAGAAATCAATACAGAGCTGGCTGGTATGCCCTCAGAACCAGGAAGACAGCTAATCTCCTGTTTGGAATTTGGGACATGCCAACTTGTATTATTGTTTATTCTTCTTTCTCTCTTAAAAATCCGCACTGTTACTTCACTTGGATATTAAGGCCCTGCGTTCTATGCATTCCTTCTATTTTGATTCTTAGCTCCTAGCAATGAACACAGAAGGATGGTTGGGTTCTGTAGGCGTCCAGAACTAATCTCCCGTGCAACTGCCTTTTACAGCTGTGATGCACAAGCAAATTGATATTCTGAAGGAATTTTAAGGTCATGAATCAATAAAAACTACTAGATTATTATTGACATATATTTACTATGCAGTATTTACAATGCTATTCTCACTATTTGTTTTGAAATATGTAGGCTATAATGTGGTATCATTCTCTGTGTTTATACTATGTTAATGTTACAGGGTATATCCCCTCTCCCCAAATTCGTATTTGAAGCCCTAACCTCCAGTATCTCAAGATGTGACAGTATTTGGAAATAAGATCTTTAAAAAGGCATTTAAATTGAAGTGAGCTCATTAGGGTGGGCCCTCATCCAACATGACTGGTGTCTCTGCAGTCACACAGGAGATTGGGACACTAATAAGCTTAAAGAGAAGGCCATGTAAAGACACAGGGAGAAGACAGCCATCTGCAAACCAGAGTAGACATCTCAGAAGAAATCAAAGCTGCCAGCGTCTTGGCTTAGGACTTCTGGCTTCCAGAATTGTGAAAAATTTCATTCCTATTGTTTTAGTCTGTGATACTTTAAGACAGGCCTAGCAAACTAATACAATTAATTTAGCTTATTATAGTCCTATGAGCATACTTGGTGTTTCAGGTAAAATAGTAATGTGTTACATTTCTTTAGTACTTTTAATATTATTCAGTTTTTCAGCATCCCATATTGTTGTCTTTTTGGCTCTTCATAGCCCCAGGACAGAACATAAGGTAGATCTCTGTTCTAACTGCCTTTTCTAGAATGCAATTTAACCCTAAGTGAACAAAGCAAATGGTGACCTTCTTAATAAATAGGTGTGAGTCTATGTAAAGATGAATTTTTACCTGGGAACTTTTAAAAACTTTCTATTTTAAAATGAAAAAAGAGAAGATTTTTTTTCCCAAAATATAACAAAATATGGGTATTTAGGAATTAAGTCGAGTGGATTCTACTATCACTTAAAGCTCAGATGAGCCCTTGGAGGGCTGGGGTGCAGAGTCTGGTCCTCTTGGTAGTCAATGTCAGATCTAGAGACATGTGTGAACTCCTTGGGTTTTGAACATTAAAGACTAGGATGCTATACAAATTACCCGAAAACTTTTACGATGTCAAACATAGTTTTTTTAATTGGCCTTCAAATATGTTATTGTAAAGGACTTCCACTCTGGATATCAATAAGTACCAATAATTTTAAAGAGTCTACTATTGTTGTGTAATAGACATTTTCTGTATTTAAGTATTTCATTTTCCCCCTCTCTGTTATGCAGTGTGTTTTAGTTTAGCCCTTTTCTCCTTTGACAGACTTCACATTTCTAAACTGAGCTCTGTAACTTTATCTCTTTAACTCCATAACTTATAAAATGGGTAGAATAATAAGCCATGCTTTAATTTAATAATAAAATTTTATAATAAATAATAACATTATGGTTATTAACAATTATGATTAATAATTAATAAAATTAAATTAAAATTTATTTAATTTAATAAAGCAGTATTTAATAATACTGTTTTCAGGTTGCAAAGAATGAAGCACAACACATATTTAATAGCTTTCTATTCATATTCTAGGAACTCCAATAATGTAAGTTTTATAACAACAATGTCTTTCAATGGATCTCTATGTAACTATTTATGAATTCACATAAAGATAAATTAACTTGTGGATAATTTTCAATTTTCTTGAAGTACATCTTCAAAATATAATTAAAAGACTGTTAGGTAATATAAAGAAATGAGTATTTCAGATAATATAATGAAAGGCTTTTATGTGCAGTATTTTGTGCAAACTTCAGAAAAACTTTCTGAATAGGTATTCTTAACTCCTTTTTCAGTTCAGTTCAGTTCAGTCACTCTGTCATGTCTGATTCCTTGAGAAATTCCAAAGCAAATAAGAACATACTCTTTCTGTTCCAAGCCTTTGAATCAGTTCAGTTCAGTTGCTCAGTCATGTCCAACTCTTTGTGACCCCATGGACTGCAGCACGCCAGGCTTCCCAGTCCATCACTAACTCCTGGAGCTTGCTATCACTCCTTTCCATCACATCAGTGATGCCATCCAGCCATCTCATCCTCTGTCATCCCCTTCTCCTCCTTCCTTCAATCTTTCCAGCATCAGGGTCTTTTCCAATGCATCAGTTCTTTGCATCAGGTGGCCAAAGTATTTGAGCTTCAGCATCAATCCTTCAAATGAATATTCAAGACTGATTTCTTTTGAGATTGACTGGTTTGATCTCTTTGCTGTCCAAGGGACTCTCAAGAGTCTTCACCAACACCACAGTTCAATTCTGTGGTGTTCAGCCTTCTTTATGGTCCAACTCTCACACCCATACCTGACTACTGGAAAAACCATAGCTTTGACTAGGTGGACCTTTGTCTGCATGTAATGTCTGTTTTTAATATGCTGTCTAGGTTGGTCATAGCTTTTCTTCCAAGGAGCAAGTGTCTTTTAATCTCAAGGCTGTATCTCCATCTGCAGTGATTTTGGAGCCCAAGAAAATAAAGTCTCTCACTGTTTCCATTGTTTCCCCATCTATTTGCCATGAAGTGGTGGGACTGGATGCAATGATCTTTGTTTTTTGAATGTTGAGTTTTAAGCCAGGTTTTTCACTGTCCTCTTTCACTTTCCTCAAGCTGCTCTTTAGTTCCTCTTCACTTTCTGCCATAAGGGTGGTGTCATCTGCATATCTGAGATTACTGATATTTCTCCCGGCAATCTTGATTTCAGCTTGTTCTTCTCCAGTCCAGCATTTCTCATGATGTACTCTGCATATAAATTAAGTAAGCAGGGTGACAATATACAGCCTTGACATACCCTTTTCCCAATTTGCAATCAGTCTATTGTTCCATGTCCAGTTCTAACTGTTGCTTCCTGACCTGCATACAGATTTCTCTTCCATCTCTTGAAGAATTTTCCACAGTTTGTTGTGATCCACACAGTCAAAGGCTTCAGCATAATTAATAAAGCAGAAGTAGATGTTTTTATGGAATTCTTTTGCTTTTTCTATGATGTAAAGGATGTTGACAATTTGATCTCTGGTTCCTCTGCCTTTTCTAAACCCAGCTTGAACATCTGGAAGCTCTCAGTTCATGTACTGTTGAAGCCTGGCTTAGAGAATTTCGAGCATTACTTGCTAGCGTGTGAGATGAGTGCAATTGTGTGGTCATTTGAACATTCTTTGGCATTGCCTTTCTTAGGGTTTGGAATGAAAGCTGACCTTTGCCAGTCCTGTGGCTACTGCTGAGTTGTCCAAAATAGCTGGCAAATTGAGTGCAGCACTTTTACAGCATCATCTTTTAGGACTTGGAATAGCTCAACTGGAATTCCATCACCTCCACTAGTTTTGTTGGTAGTGATGCTTCCTAAGGTCCATTTGACTTTGCAGCCCAGGATGTCTTTTTTTCTCAGTTATTTGTAAGGCCTCCTCAGACAACCCTTTTGCCTTTTTGCATTTCTGTTTTTGGGGATGGTGTTGATCCCTGTCTCCTGTACAATGTCACGAAGCTTGGTCCATAGTTCTCTGGGCACTGTGTCTATCTGATCTAATCCCTTGAATCTGTTTCTCACTTCCACTGTATAATCGTAGGGATTTGATTTAGGTCATACTTGAATGGTATAGTGGTTTTCCCTGCTTTCTTCAATTTAAATCTGAATTTGGCAATAAGGAATTTATCATCTGAGCCACAGTCAGTTCCTGGTCTTATTTTTGCTGACTGTGAAGAGCTTCTCCATCTTTGGCTGCAAAAAATAGAATCAACCTGATTTTGGCATTGATCATCTAGTGATGTCCATGTGTAGAGTTGTCTCTTGTGTTGTTGGGAGAGGGTGTTTGCTCTGACCAGTGCCTTCTCTTGGCAAAACTCTGTTAACCTTTGCCCTGCTTTGTTTTGTACTCCAAGGCCTACGTTGCCTGTTACTCCAGGTAGCTCTTGACTTCCTACCTTTGCATTTCAGTCCCCTGTAATGAAAAGAACATCTTTTTGGTGTTAGTTCTAGAGGTCTTTAGGTCATTGCAGAACCATTCAACTTCACCTTCTTCGGCACTAGTGGTTGGGGCATAGACTTGAATTACTATAATATTGAATGGTTTGCCTTGGTTTGCCTTTTTATAGGTGTGACATCTGGGTCTCAGTAGAAACAACTATGACCTGTCTGGCAAAATCAGGTGTTAATGAAGCTGAGCTTTGCACAGTGGCTATATCATAGTCAGTGAGGTCTATCTGTGGTACAATTATTGCTAATTAAAAAGTGTGCCACTACACCAAAAGAACTTGAAATGTAGTTGACGTTGTCAATGGTTGAGAGTCTCTGTGGAGACTGAATTTTTTTTTTAAAAAAGTAGTATTATAATTAGGGAAATTGAAGCTCAAACTCAGGTTTTTGTTTCAATCTAGTGCTGTTTCCACTATGCCATAGTTGGATTTCAGGGATTTTAACTGGCCATTCCTTCTTAAGTTCTAAAACAAATCATAAGATAAAAATCTTGTGCACTGTACTGTTTATTTCATTACCTTTTATTTTTCAATAAATAACAAACTGTAATGATGTACTTGGGGCTCTTAGCCTTTCCTGCTTGGGCGTCATATTGGTATTTCAACACCTAATTCTCTCCCACTCCTGAGGTTCCTCTTACAACACAGGCTTGTGTTAGCTGCCTCTTGGAGGGACATCATTAGACACTGAGAGAAAGTCTCTGGTAATGATGGGAACTTATTGTTCATTCCTTTATAAAGGATTTTCTCTCTTCCTCTCAGATTGCAAATCAAAACTTGATGGACTTCTTCACTAATGCATCATTTTTTCCTCCTAGATACTCTTCAACCCTGTAATTAAATACAGTTTCTTCTTAATGGTTCAAGGTTAGGGCTCACTTTGAGTTCATCCTTTTCGAGTGGCCACCACCTCCTGGATCCTGTGTCGTGCCCTCACTCCTAGTTCCGTCTTTCCTTCCTCCTCCTTGTTATTTACCTTCTATTCACCCTTCAAGTTGGATATTAATTTTATTTTGCTACACTTCATCTTTTTATATACTGAAAACCCTTATGGAACAAATCAAGCAAGCAGCATTGGCTTTTGTATGTAACTGATTTCAGAATACCTGGCTGTTCCAGAGAAAAACCCAGAGATTTTTTTGTTGTTGTTTGTTTTAATCTAGTTTCGATTCACCCAGCCTAGTTACAGGATAATAACCCTTAGGTTCTATAAGAGGTTCAGCACTGCTTCTGGGCAGTCAATATGTTCATAAAGTGACTAAGTATCCATACAGGAAGTTGTAAGCATGTTTGTCTATGTTAGAATTATTAGGCCACAGAATATTTTGTTGAAGAAAAGGTAGGGAAAAAATAAAGCCTTTCTTATTAGTCATTTGAAAAAGAAGACTAGACAAGGCGTTACTAATTATAGCATGGAAAAAATGCTGGGCTAAAAACTGGTTTAACCAGAAGATCGAAGACTCTCAGTGAAGTCTCTCATTCATAAATCAAATGATTGGATGAAGATTCTGCTTAGAAAAAAAAAAAATCATTCCTTTACATAATATGTTAGTCTCTTACAAAACATTTATTTAAAATATTTCAAATAGTGCCATCCAACTGCCTTCCTTTTCCACTGACCTCCTACCTAGCACCTTTAAATTGGGCAGCAGGAGATGCTATAGTGAACATATTACCTTTATAATTTCACAAGCCTCTCAGCTGGAGTTCAGGATCAATTCTCACACTTTAAAAATTCTTTGGCAGACAGGTTTAAACTACATTAACTGACAAATAACCTGAAGTGTAATTTATGGATCTTTCTTCCATGGGAAACAGTTGCAGCTGGTTTTTAATACAAATTGCCTTCCAGTGCTGTAAAACCTGGGCAATCTTAGCAAAACTAACTGATTCCACAAACAGAAGCAAAAAAATAAAACAGAAGGGCAACATCGAAACAGTTGCTAAGTCCATGTGTTTAATAAAAGACGAATTCTGGACCTGGCTAGTACCTTTACATTTTTCATCCTCAGTCTAATCTTTTTGTATTTTTCAAAATTTCATCAATATTTTTCCGTTACCTCTCCTCAAAAGGTATTATGGTTACTTAATTATTTATTTTTCCTAATTAGAATATTGTTGCTTCAGTAAAAAAAAATTTAATGTAATGCATTTAGATGGTGACCTTCTTTGAATTGCACGTGTAAGTTGACCTTTGAACAATGTCGGTTTGAATTTTGCTCGTCCACTTACACGTAGAATTTTTTTTTTTTATAATAAATACTACAGTACTACATAATCCAGGGTTGAATCTGGGAATACAGAACCATAGATATGGAGAATGACTGTACATCATATCTGGATTTTCAACTGCATAAAGAGTTGGCAGTCCTGCATTGTTTTCATGGTCAACTGGAAAAAATGTCAATTTTTTATCTCATTTCTGTGTCAGACTCCATAATGTCTATCCAGATTACCTCATGCATCCAGTCTTTATCTGACATCCATATACAGGTTTTTCTGGTCTTCTCTGGCGGCTCAGTCAGTAAAGAGTCTGCCTGCAGTGCTGGAGACCTGGGTTCCATCCCTGGGTCAGGAAGATCCCCTGGAGAAGGAAATGGCAGCCCACTCCAGTATTCTTGCCTGGAGAATTCCATGGACAAAGGAACCTGGTGAACTACAGTCCATGTGTTCACGAAGAGTCAGACACAACTGATTGACTAACCCTTTTACTTTTCAGGCTTTTCAGAGGATGAACAACAGGTCTAAAACTGCCTTCCATCATCTTTCTCTATATAGACCTCTTTCCATGGTCCTGCTTCACTGAATACCATGGCTTTTTGCCTTCCCTCACTGAGTACATTCAATCCAATACCTCCTAGAATACATTCAATCCAATACCTCCTAGAAGGCTAGAAATTCATCTCTTCTTCCCCAGTGCTGTATGGGCTCCTGTGATGTTTAATTTTATGTAAATTTGACTGGGCTAAGGGATCCAGTTAGCATATTAAAAAGCAGAGANTTCTCCTGTCCTCAGACATCAAAGCTCCAGGTTCTTGGGCCTTCAGACTCAGACTGAAGTAATCAACCCAAACCCTCATTTTCTTGGGTTCTCAGATGTTTGGACTTGACCTGAATTATTATGCCACTAACTTTCCTGGTTTTTCAGCTTACAGGCAGCAGATTGTAGGACTTCTCTACTCCATAACCTGTGAACTGGTTCCTGTACTTAATCTCATTTTATGTAAATCTTCATATCCTATTGGTTCTGTTTCTCTGGAAAACCCTTACAAATGTAGCTCCCAGTCTTGAGTGTTCTGAATTTCAACCTTCCATTCTTTCCATTCATTCTCCAAATGGAACTAGAAGGAGTTGATCATATTGGGCCCCCATGTTTAAAACCCTTTGGTGTCGTGGTTGATTTATTTCAATTCTTTTAGAAGTTTTAAGATCCTTTCATAGCTACAGGGCTCTTTCAGATTTCCTTTCTTCTTCAGTCTCACCCTTCACCTTCTGATGTCCATTATGTTAGGCTTACCAAGTTATTTTTAGTTTTTATGATGACTTGTATTCCCTTTGGCTCATTGTTGCTCCTTCTCAGGCAAGAAAGGGCCCTTCCTCTGTCAAGGTTCATTTAAATGCCCCTGCAAGGTCTAGGATATGACTTTTCCTGTTATACTTATTGCCTCCTTGTATTTTAATTGTTTATTTCTTGTTTATGTCTGATCCTATAGACTGTAAGCAATCTGTGCCCTGTTCATCTGCAATGCACAGCACCCAACATGTTATTCAGGTTCTACATTTTAAAGTTTTATTTCTGACTCTCCAGCTTTCTTTTCATATTTATTCAGTATTTATTCATATTTATTCAATGACAATTCATGCTATAGCTTCATTGTTAAATATTTTAAAAAGTACTAACAGATATACTTAAAGATTCAACTGCATGTGAAATAGAAAATCTACTAGAAGCCTATTCAATTTTGGCAAAAAGTTGAACATTATCTGATTATGGGAACATCAAAAAGAAGTTATAATTTGCTAAAGATATTTATATGCTACTAAAAACAAATCTTTCAAAGTCTTAGATTATTTCCAGGTTATGCTATTTCTTTTGTGGCTTTTTTTTCTCTTTGGCAAGATTTTTTTTTTCTATTGAGCATAAAATGTAGTGACTATTAACTTGATTATATGCTGCAAATGATAAAGCTAAAAAGAGACTTTAAGGAGTTATTCTTCTGCTCTTGGATAACACTGCCCTTAAAACTTCCCAAAAGTAAATCTGTTTAATTTAAGAAAAACCTTAGAATGTATGTTTTAGGAACAATATAACATGAACATTAATTATATCTAATATTTATATGAAGATAGAATGCAATTCATTCAAAAATTTTACTCTAGCAATGAGTAATACTGCTTAAATTATAAAACAGTACAGTGCATTTTATTGTAGACCCCTGAATAACTTCTTTTAAATACTGAAATATTCATGTATACATTCAAATAGCAAAGATAAAATATCGGTCACATTTTTCCATTTGGGAAACTTTAGAGTTTCTTTGAGAAACATGATAAAAATCTCAGTTTAACAAATAGTGTAAGTTTGTAGTTCATTCCCTGCTCTGTGACTTTTCCTGTTTAGTTTTTAGCTTACTTGGTTACATAACCATTGCTTTTGCTTAAAGGTCAGCCAAAAGTAAAGTTATATCTTGCTGGAGGTGAGATGTAAACAATGTCTGATCTTGCCCTGCCATTTTTCTTAAATCTTCTACAGAGCTGGGTGAAATTGTGCCAGTATTCATAAAAGAAGATTATGTTTTAGAATCTGTATTGTATTATTCAATAAATATTTCAAGGTGTCTGCAAACAGGGATTAATGGGTATTATATTTCAGGAAACCAGAAAGGTATCAACCTGAAGAATTAAATAAAACACTCATGTTTGATGCTCATATAAACTGTAACTTAAAATAAAATGTGTGTAAACTTCCTTTTCCTTTTGTTTCATTTTTCTGTCACAAGATAATACAGACTAAAGTGAAATGAGACCAAAATGAAATGAGATTTAAAAAAAAAAAATCTAAATTTGACCTTCACTCTGAAAAGTAATACCGCTCTTCAATCATCATTGTTATTATGGCGCCTTCATGCAGTTAAAATATCTGGATGAAAAAAAACCATGATTCAGATTCTCAATGGCACACTGCACTTCAGTCCAATTGAAGGCATCTGGACACGGAAAGACGATACCATAAAGTTTTTCAACTGAAATTAGGGGTGAGGTATGTATTAAAACTTTGCATCGTATTAAAAATGATTGGGTTCTATGGAAATTTCTTATTTTTTTAAAAAATATTCTGTGTCATTACTGTATATATTTAGATCTTCATTCAATACTTGAGAATCATTAGTGATCTAAAATGGATGTTTTATCTGCTGTAAAACTCCTAAAAAGAGCCAAGGTAAATGCCCCATCCCTGTGTTTCTCCTCTAAAGATAATTCTGTAAATAGGGCAGCTACTGCTGCCTACAACATCCTTTAATCATTTAAGATGTGTTTTATCCTGGTATTAATTAAATTCATTTTTAATTTTAAATTAAAAAAAAAAAAGAAAGGTTAGCTCCCCTCTCCTTCAGTTGTAACCTAGACCTTGAGCAAAGTAAAAATAAAGTATGACCTAAAATCTCTTCTCAATGTTATTTTTATTGTTTGGTTTTTTTTCCTTCTAAGGAAAGTCATATTTTTTTAATGATCCAGGTCACCTTCTAGGCTAGAGTTAAGAACTTAAGGGAGGGCTACATCATGACTAATTCTCCTTTTTGTATTTTTTTTTCTTTTTTGGATCTCCAAGTAAGTAATTTTTTATTGACTTAGTTGACATATAACTTCATATTAGTTTCAAATGTACAACATAATTATTCCATATGTGTATATGTTGTGAAGTGATCACAACATCATATCTAGTTAACATCCATCCAAGTGATTTTTTATGCACATTAAAACTCGAGAAGCAAGGCTTAGATAAGTGACTTTCAGCCCAGGCTTCCAGTTAGGATCTCCTGTGCCCAGTCACTCAATGGTGTCTGGCTCTGCGACCCCACAGACTGTAGCCTCCAGGCTCCTCTGTCCATGGAATTCCTAGGCAAGAATACTGGAGTGGATTGCCATTTCCTCCTCCAGGGGATCTTCCCTAGGATATCAGATGGTTTTAAGAACTGTTGTCACCTGTGCCCTCCCCCACAGATTCCGTCCATTTGTCTGGGTAGGAACACCTGTGTTGTTTAAATTACATCCTTCAGATGATTCTAAGGTGAGGCCAGAGTTAAGGGTGAGAGGTCACAAGTATATTAGGAGAGCTGAGCCTGTGGCCCAAGGCAAGATAACAGGCTTTGCTCTATGTGGGTCTGGTAGGAGCAGGTCTGTGCCGCCTGCATTATCTGGGCTGTAATAGAATTTGGGGGTGTCTGTGGGAGAAGAGGGTCCCTGAAGACAGAAAAGAAGAAACTCAAAGTTTTTTCTTCATGTAGGAGCTCAGTGTTCCTGAATCTCTCCTGAGACAACAAGAAGGGTGTTTCAAGTCTCTCCTTCCTGTGAGTGTGAGACCAACAAAGCGTCTCAACATTCTCAAGATGCATTTGTGACTTCACCTTATCTCACCTGAGAAAGAAACCCAGTGGAGGAAAAGGGAGAAATGGAAGTTTCTCAGGTAAACGTCATGTCCTGGGTCAGGGGCAGGTTCTCTTTTCCTCCTGAAGTGCTGTGGTCCTAGAACATGTCTCTGCGACCCCACAGACTGTAGCCTCCAGGCTCCTCTGTCCATGGAATTCCTAGGCAAGAATACTGGAGTGGATTGCCATTTCCTCCTCCAGGGGATCTTCCCTAGGATATCAGATGGTTTTAAGAACTGTTGTCACCTGTGCCCTCCCCCACAGATTCCGTCCATTTGTCTGGGTAGGAACACCTGTGTTGTTTAAATTACATCCTTCAGATGATTCTAAGGTGAGGCCAGAGTTAAGGGTGAGAGGTCACAAGTATATTAGGAGAGCTGAGCCTGTGGCCCAAGGCAAGATAACAAGCTTTGCTCTATGTGGGTCTGGTAGGAGCAGGTCTGTGCCGCCTGCATTATCTGGGCTGTAATAGAATTTGGGGGTGTCTGTGGGAGAAGAGGGTCCCTGAAGACAGAAAAGAAGAAACTCAAAGTTTTTTCTTCATGTAGGAGCTCAGTGTTCCTGAATTTCTCCTGAGACAACAAGAAGGGTGTTTCAAGTCTCTCCTTCCTGTGAGTGTGAGACCAACAAAGCGTCTCAACATTCTCAAGATGCATTTGTGACTTCACCTTATCTCACCTGAGAAAGAAACCCAGTGGAGGAAAAGGGAGAAATGGAAGTTTCTCAGGTAAACGTCATGTCCTGGGTCAGGGGCAGGTTCTCTTTTCCTCCTGAAGTGCTGTGGTCCTAGAACATGTGAATGTTTACTTCCGTTTACTCTGTTGGTAACAGGTTTGTTTTCAACTACTGTTTTTCTTTCTCTCTTTTTCTGACAGTCAAGTGCTCTTAGAACGCGTCTCCCCTTTATGCTAGAGCCTTCTGTCCGTTTTCTCTGTTCAAACTTCTGATATGTTTTGAGCAATTCTCACTACTAATTAATGACCTGAAACTACCAAAAATGTTCCCTTTGTGTCAGATCAATTTGGGAATGTGCTGATACCCAAGATTCCTATGTGGGATTGGAGGGGAAGGGGCCTGGGGCATCAGTGACGAAAGAGATTGTATAGTCTTTAGGTCCCATCTGGATACCCCATCAACTCTGTGTAGATGAGGATTAAAAACAGTCATATCAAACAGGATGGTGTTAATGGCTCAGAATAACTCAAAACTTTCTAAAAGAGAAGACTGGTTAGCAAAAGACAGGATCTCTAGAACACTCAAGATTAATGATTTAAATGAACTATTAGGGATTACAGATTATAGGCACTCTATTTGGCTAGACATTTGAATAAAATTGGTGTTTTTCATGATTAGATTTAGGTTGCAATTGACTTGTTTTTCTGGGCAATAATGCCAGCAGTGATTGTGTTCTTTGGAGAATGTTGATATCAATTTATCCCATTACTGCTGGTGTTAACTCCATACACTTGGTACAAATGCTCTCTACCTGACTTCTCTACAACTCCTCTTTGTACTTTAAAAATATATATATTTTTAAAATTATCTAAAAATGTTCAAGGAAATGGATTGAAGTTGAATTTTAAGATGCTACGTGTCCGGTGGGCTCCCCTAGTGACTTGGTGGCCGAGAACCCACCTGCCGGTGCAGGAGACGCCGGAGACACGAGTTCAATCCCCAGGTCAGAGGGATCTCCTGGAGGAGGACGTGGCAACCCACTCCAGTATTCTTGCCTGGGAAGCCCCATGAACAGAGGAGCCTGGTAGGCTCCTGGGGGGTTGCAAAAGAATCAGACATGACTTAGCAACTAAACAACATTTGTCCTATGAGAAATAGATTTTTTGTGGTAGTAACCATACATTTTGAGCTTACTATTAACTGGTGACTGTAATTTACTTGCTCAAAATGGGGATCTGATGGCTCTCATTCTTGGCTGCCATTATCTTAGATGTCCCTTCAGCTTGGTCTTTGGTTCCTATTAACTACATGTGAGCCTTGCTGAAAATAGTTTTCCAGATCAGCATCTCCCCAGCATCGCATCTCCAGAGTGTCAGAGAGATGCCTTTGACAGAATCCATTAAGGTTAACATTAAATTTTAACATTAAAACTTGGCATGAAAAAGAGAGTCTAAGAAAAATACTTCACAGATTTGTTGTTCTGGCTCATGGATAAGAAGCAAGAAAACAAAGCAAATAAGTTTGAATTTGAGAAGCAATTATCTTTGCCTAAACTTTGCTTTTCTTTTCATTTCCTATTCCTTGAAAGTGCAGTTATTATTTGGGGAGCTAACAGTTTCCATCTACAGTTAACACAAGCGTATTAGAAAGTACCATCCTGAGCTAGTAGTAATGTTAAAATCAGCACGATAGATGAGCTTTCTCTATGCCTATACAGAAACTTTACTGGCAGTTTCATTTGTCAATTTCCTTAATTAATATAGCCTAACCTACTGCACAGGGAGGCCTGGCGTGCTGCGATTCATGGGGTTGCAAAGAGTCAGACACGACTGAGCAACTGAACTGAACCTACTGCAATAGAATTTTAAACTCCTGAGGAAGAAACTATGTATTATTTCTTAATATCTTTTCTTCCCTCTTTCTATGGTGGTACAATTTGTGATTTTTAACTGAACAGATGCTATCCTGAAACTAAAAATTACATTTTCCCGCTTCTGTTATCTAGGAGTGATCTGGTACATTTAGGTTCTGACAGATGGAATGAAAGGAAAAGTGGTATGTCAAATTTCTAAGATATTTGCTTGTTGAGAGAAGACGCGCTTTTCTTCCTTTTCTACCTTCTGGCTGGTGGGAATGTGGACGTGATGGCCATAGCTGGCATAGTCACCAAGGACATGAGATGATCTGAGTGATGTAGGTCATGGTAAAGCAGCAACATAGAAGGAGCCTGGGTCTCTGGAAGTAACATACTGAATCTGGGTCACTGACCTCTGAACTGACTTGTATCTGACTCTTATTGATAATGAAGAAGCATAAATGATTGCTTTATGATACCTATTGCAAGCACTACAATTGTTCCTCAGTAGCTTAGCCTATACTAGTGAATGAATGATTATAAAATTTTTATGGCACATCATATTACAGTCATGTGCATAATACAGTATTAGAAACATTATTACATTTTTTTAAAAAACACCTATGATGATAGGCTGATAGGCAATTTTGCTATCAGAGGTATACTGTATTATAATGTAATTCTTTGCAAGCACAGTTATAAAATGATAAGAAAACCAGCACATTTTTGTAAAATATCACTCACCTTATGCCTATATATGGATAGGCATGCAAGTCTGGCACACAGTGTTCTACATCGTGAAGACTTGGGCGACAATGATGATGACATAAATATATCTCATTCAGTTTTTGCTGTACCATTTTTACTTTCCACATGAAAACACTCGCACACATACACGATAGATAAGTTTATTAACTGTAAGGCATGATGACTATTGTTCATTAAGTAGTAGGAGATCATCACAGTTCCTCATCATCTTCACATTGACTAGGCTGAGGAAGAAGCAGAAGAGAGATTGGTGCCGCTGTCTCAGGGGTGACTGAGGTGGAAGTGGAGGCAGGAGAGGTCGGTGCACTCAGTGTTATTTTATGGAAATGAGTCATAATTTGTCTGACTGTTCTGATTTTTAATTTCTCTAAAAATGCTTATATAAAATACCAATCCTTCTACCCCTAGCTTTAATATCAGGACCAGTATCATAAAGGGGTCCATGTCATAACAGAAGTCAAAAGCATGTCTTAGGTAATAGGAGACGTACCAGATTGTCGAATGTCCGTTTGTTTGCTGGCACTGCTTTTTCCATCTTCCTCATAATGGTTCATCTTTTTTCATCTTCCTCATCTGAACCTCAGCACTGGTTCAGAAGCACTCATTCTCATTCAGTTGTCATGTGTTAATTCCTCTGGTGTGGTATTTATTTGCACTTTCATTTCCCTAAGATCCACATCTTTTTGGCCACATCCACCATCTCTCTTGTGGTTTCTTTGATTGGTTCTGTTCTAAATCCTTTGGAGTCTGGCACAATGTCTGGAGACAGTTTTCTGCAGCAGGAATTTACTGTTTTGGACTTGACGGTTTTCATGGCTTTTTCTGTAACAGTGATGACACCTTCAGGGATTCCCAACTGTGTGATCCTTCCAGACCCTCGTGATTTTCTCTTTACCTGGGTTCTCTTCTGTAGTATTGGCAATCCTTTCCGTGGTGTGCCAGGTGTAATGAATCTTAAAGACCCTCATGACCCCCTGATCTAGAGGCTAATTAGAGATGTTGTGTTTGAGGAAGAGTGGACCACTTTAGCATTTCAGTGTTACGTAGTTCTAGGTGGCCAGGGACGTTGCCTAATATAACAACAACAACGAATGTTAAAAGGCAGCCCCTTGCTGGCAAGGAACTTCCTGACTTTAGGGACAAAGCAGTGATGGCACCAATCCAGAAAAACGGTTCTCATCCAGAATTTCTTGTCGCCCAAGCAGAAGACTGGCAGCTGGTGGTATTTTTTTTATTTTTTTTTCCCATCAAAGCTCAGGGCTTAGAGGCTTTATAGGTAAGGGCAGTTCTGATCACAAACCTATTACATTTGCCCAAAGCTATGCTTTAGCCTATACCTCCCTGCCTTAAATCCTGGTGTTCACCTCTCTTCCTTACTAATAAACCTACTTTGTAGCATTTTTCCCCAGAATAGGGCACTTCAGGATACGTTAAAAATTTGTTCAGGCAGATATCTTTTCTCTTCAGTGACTGTCTTAACAGCATCTGAGAACTCATCTCTGATGTCTTGATTGGTAGAAGCAGCTTCTCCTGTTATATTGACATTTTAAAGCCAAATAAATCTCTTTTTAGAATTATCAAGCCATCCTTTCCTGGCATTAACTTCTTTAGCTTGAGATTTTTTTAATTTTTGCTTTAAGTTATACTGACTGATTTTTCTTAAATCATGTTAGAGTCTTATTGGTATGACTTTCTTATGGCAATCTTGCACCCACATAAAAGCTTAATTTTCAA